CCCCAAACCCCCAAAACCCCAAAACCCCAAAACCCCAAATCCTAAAATTTCCCTGAAATTCCCAACTTTTAAAAATTTACGTAAAAATATTATTCTGTGTCAGCCTGGTCGTGTTCTTCTTAGGATTCTTCTTCTGGAGAGTTTGAAGAGTCTTGATCTCTTGCTGTGAGAGGTTAAGGGATTCTGACCCATGACGGCTGGTAAGTGGGATTTGGGGAGAAGGAATAGGGTGTGAGGGAGGTAGGATTTGGGGAGGGTGATAATAGCTGTTGGGGAAGGGGTCTAGGTGGGTTAAGGGGGGTTGGAGGGTACCTAGAGAGCTTTCTCGGTGGTTAGGGGGATTTGTGAGGCCATATCTTTTGGGATATTTTTGGGCGTTTTTGGGGCTATTTTTGGTCATGGAGGGTATACTTTGGGATATGTCGTGTATGAGGGCCGACAGACATGCTCTGGGCATTTTTTATTTGAGGAAGAGCTTTATTTTAGTTTATTCTATGATTTAAATGAGAAAATTTACCCTTTCCTTTCTGCTGTTATAAAAAAGTTGCTTATTTGCTTGTGGTGTAATCTTCTTCTGGCTTCGCAGAGGAATAATACTTAAATTCTTTCTTAGCTTGGCTAGTATTATGATCTTGATAAGCCAATTTGCTTTGATGAATTCCTATCAATAGTTAAGTAATGCTTACCTTTGAAGCGAGGATCTTTCTCAATTCTTAGTAGAGATTTCCTTGAGGAATTGCGAATTTTTCCTTTTCTTGGAACGCCTTGATCCAATCTTCTTCTCAGCTTTGCTTTGGTGAGGTTAAGACTTGTCAGATTATCTTGTCCTAAAATGTTTGAATAATAGATACTCTCTGAAATAGATGTGTGAGCTGGACTATAGACTGTATCTGATTGTTTCTTAGCATTGATCTTTTCTGTGAGCTTGCCTATAACCCTGGATTATTTCCAAAACATTGTCTATAACTTACTCCTTCTTTCTTCATTACTCATTAACATTAGCTTTCTTCTTTTACCAGGTGGGTTTTTAATTTGGGGGAAAATGGAGGTAGAAGTATCTCTACTCTTGATCATGATTGCTTCTATATTATCAAAATTCTGGTGCTACCATTTATTTTAGCCTTATTTAGCCCTCCTTCGAGCCTTTGATCTTGACTTCTTAGGAGTTTTAATGATATTCCTAACTTTTTCTGTTAGCTTTGTGAAATCCTCTTCTCTATCATCAATAGCGTTTATGATTCTTGGTGCTGAAGCACCACCGATAGAGATATCAACATCACTATGGAAGTCACTGAGGTCATCTGGGATTTGAAAGTCAATATATTCATCAGTTGCATCAGAATCTTGGCCTATGAGATTAACAATCGGATACATACTGTTGTCCTTTTCTTTTAAAATTGTGTGAATCTTCTCAAAATTTCCCATATTAGTGAGTTCATGGTTCATCTGCTTGTACATTTCTCGCTCACCATAATTGTTGTACACATGGATATATTCTTTGGGATTTCGATTGTTATGGACTCTTTCTTGTAGCTCTCTTGCATTCATCTGTAACTTCCTTCTTTTAGTTCTTGAGCTTATGTTTAACAACTTGAAGGTGTCTAGTTTGTTATTTCAGAGAGCATACCTGAGATTAAGCCTTCTTTTACTTTTCTATCTATTTCAGATCCTGTTCCAAAGCTTGGTGCGTGATTTACTTCAATCAACCAAGGTTGGCCAAAATCATCAATTAGGATATCAAACCCAAGAATCTCAAATCACATATCCATGCGTTTGTTCCTAGGTTGAAGAGATTTATAATTATGAGCCAGACTTTCCTGGATGCTCATAATAGTGTCTTTAAAAATGTCTTTGATTTCTTCCCACAGTTCATATTTATCGAATCCCTCAAGATCGAGATGGTCAAAGACCTCTGACATTAACTTCTTGACTACTTTCTTATCCCTGATCTTAATACCAAATTCCTTGCCTTCCTCAACTTGTTCTAGAGAGTCAGCCAAGTCAGATCTTACCTTCTTGGAAAGAAGGAACACTTTCATTTTCAAGATCAGTGTTCTTCTTATTAATGGAGAAATTAGTGAGATGGATGAAATTGTTTTTCTCATCATCCTTGTTGATAGAGTTTAGATCGTACTTCTCAGTACAAAACCTAGCGATTCCTTCTTTATACACAAACATTGTCAGAGGCTCTGCTCTTGTAACAAGGACGTAGATTCTGAGGTCAAATTTATACCCATCTATCAGGAACGGATTGTGTATGTATTCTTGCACAACACATTTATTTGAAGGTAGAAATATCAGACAATTTATTTAGTTAAATAAATGCCTCTTCCTTGAGCCCCAGCTTCTGGCTTAACAATGAAGTAAGGATCCCTCTTAATCTTCCCTTGCTTTTCTGTAGTTAGGTGTGAAAAATTACTATTTTTTCTTCATTTTAACAACGAATTCATTGAGTTCATATCCTTCACTAGGAAGAACCCAGGTTTTTGGTATAAAATCATATTTGTCCTGATTCCCAGACTCTTTTTGAAGCTTTTTCATAGTTAAAGCAAGGGTATTCTTCCGAGTAATCTGATTCATGCCTGGAAAGTGGTTACATATTTGATGTAGCCTCATTTGGCGGAAGAATTGAGAGGAGACTCCTCCATCTAACCATCAAACGTCCCAGTCATTGCCAGCTAGAATTGACACATGAATCTTACAACTTATAGAAGCGCTTTCTGAATCAGAAGTTAACTGCCATCCGAATTTAGTAGCAACTTTATTTGATGGATTCAAATTTACAATGCTGCAAGTTTATCTTAATCTGAGGTAGGTTCCTCCTCACAGACTTTTTGTTCTTCTTGAACTTTCGCTTTGGGCTTTGAAAATCAAGCTTTGTGTTGGAATAAGTATGAGAAGTCCCAACATTGTTTTTGATTGATTTTGTAGTCGTTAAATCTACAGAAAGTGATTAAAGCACATTTACCTTCTAGCATAGAGCCAGGATTCATTTGATCTTTACAATAAGAGTCAGAGGTATCAGAACTTCTTTTGTTATTTAACTTCCTAACAGAACTCATCTGAAAGCCAGTTGGAGTTGAGGCATGGTTTTGAGTATAATCATTATTGCTCCTCTTGAAAATAGAAGAATCACCTCCATCTCATTGTCCAGAATCTCTGACCTTTTTAAGTATTTCAGAGATGGAATAACTAACCGGTTCTATATCAATGTATGAACGAGAAAGCATAAAGTGTGAGATCTATTGAATCTCTATGGCATAATTCAAGAATCTGGATTGTCATATATCTAAGCAATATACTTGGTTATATTACGAGAGGTCTTACCCTTCCTAGCTTGCTTTCTTGCTTTACTATGTCTCTCATTAGCTTTCTTTTTCTTCTGTTTGTTATCTGTTTCGTACAAATTCTTTATCTGCTTCTGCTTTCCCATATTTGATAAATTATTTTAATTGACAATTCCTTGCTATCTAAAGGGGTTTTGGGGTTTTGGGGTTTTGGGGTTTTGGGG